TTTCCCTGATTTACCGTTGTTAACATGTCGATTTTCTTCCCTCCTTCTAGCTTTAGCAGCCAATGGTTCGGACTCTAAAGAGTGGTGCATTCCGTCCCACTCTCGACCCAAGTATCGCCTGCAGTTCAACCAAAACGACCGTACTAAGCGTGGCTACCTAACTGGTGTGGAGGCTCGTGGCATTTTCATGTCCTCGCACCTGCCCCAGTCAACTCTTGCCTACATCTGGTGCGTTACTGTTTTATATTTATGATAGTATTGCTTTCAATGGGCAGTGGCGTCGAAGTTAACTGTGAGACTTATCCCTGAGCTCTTCCATTTTTTCAGGAATTTTGTTAGAAGATAGTACCCAACCATTCAAAAGTTCGAGACAGCGACGGCTGCTTGCGAGGGATTTGAGATAAGGAAAGTCGAGTTTTCTCCCTCCAGATTCAACTATGCATGTTTAAGACGGTCACAATCATAATCTAATTCGCACCCAAGCTTCGAGAGGCAGGCTGGCAGGTACACCGTGTACGTTATGTGTTCCAAAGTTGTGGTATGACTGTCTATCGGGCCAGACATGTCTGGTGACTGAACTGATGCCAATCAAAATGCTACCAGAACTGACAGTTCGGCCACCGCGAATGACAGCGTCAACCGTGTGTCCAATAGAATGCACTCAGCACCAGTGATCTGCACGTGACTGAGTTTATAGAGAGTCCGACTTGCGTGGCAAGCTCCGGTGGCAAGACAATAGGTTATCGGAAGTGGCAGAAAAATCAAACAACCCGCCTGTGTGTGTCACACACGAACTGCTTTCTAAATGGTGCACTGAAATTTCATAGGTACAGGGGCGCACGTATTTTATATTAGTGAGAGTGTTATCAAGGCGACATTACGAAACTTCACCCCAAGTCGTGAAACCGATCCCGCACGATAGTTATACCGTTGTCTCCGAACATGTCCACCCTGTGCCCTATATAATGGTGATGTGGGGACAGTGACTTCCATGTGGACTAGTTGATAACCATAGCAGACTTGTGCAGCGTCTGCAAAGTTCGTGCATTATTTTCCATCTAGGCCCGGTGTCATGCCCAAACCAGGATCACCAGAGGGCGCAGTTGCGGCAGGAAACCCCCACCTGAGCTTGCCACCACCACCACACTGGCTCCGATCCCAACTGAATAGGAGTGCCATATAGGCCACATTAAGAAGGCGCCATTACAGCCTGACTCAATCCACTGATCGATCGCTCCTTACAAATACATACTGGGCTGACTGCGAGGTCCGAGGTACCCCGTCAGTTGGCAACCTTCTAAGTGAGCGCTTTTGGCACTCCGTGAAACTCTCAGGTCCGTAGGGTTGTTTATATTGAGGGATATGCTCTGGGGGTCGACCTCTGCCCATTCGCGTGCGCCAGTCGATAGCTCCAGCCGGCTAACCAA